CAGAGGCAATACAAGGATATTTTAACAAGATGCAAGCAAAGAATGACGGGTTTTTCTTTAGCATGGATGTGGACGAAGAATCAAGGCTTAGAAATGTGTTTTGGGTGGACAATAGGTGTCGTCAGTGTTACAAATCCTTTGGTGATGTTGTGACATTTGACACTACATACTTGACTAACAAGTATGAATTGCGGTTTGCTCCTTTCGTAGGTGTCAACCATCATGGGCAATCAGTACTTCTTGGTTGCGGCTTAATTGCACACGAATATACAGAGTCATTTGTTTGGCTTTTCAAGACATGGCTTCAATGTATGGATGGGGTTCCACCCCAAGGCATAATTACAGATCAAGATGAAGCCATGGCTAAAGCAATCAGTATTGTGTTTCCAGGCATTAAACATCGTTGGTGTCTTTGGCATATTCTTAACAAATTGCCTGAAAAGTTAGGAGGTAGGTCTGATAAAGTTGAAATCATGGATAAGATAAACGACCTTGTGTATGATGTTCATGTTATCACAGAATTTGAGCAAGGCTGGAGAGAAATGATTATGGATGAGGATCTAAATGACAATGAGTGGTTGGCTGAGATGTTTTTTTGGAGAGAGAGATGGGTTCCATGTTATCTACGAACTTCTTTTTGGGCTGGTACTTATTTTATGTGTTCTGTTTTTTTAAACTTGACAATTACTGTCTGTGAGAGTGTTATTCACAGACAGTAATTGTCTATGACATTTAAATTACTATTTCAGAATTTGTGTGTTAAACTGTACTTTCTTCCACAGGTATGTCCTCAACGCAGCGTAGTGAAAGCATGAATGCTTTCTTTGATGGCTACGTGCATTCAAAGACAACACTCAAGCAATTTGTTGATCAATACGACCGTGCGCTAAGGAAAAAAGTGGAAATGGAGTTTCAAGCAAATGCTAGCTCCTTTACAAAAATGATCCCATGTGTCACTATGTATGAAATGGAGAAACAACTTCAAGACGTATATACTATTTCCAAATTTAAAGAGTTTCAGACTGAAATTATTGGGAAAGTATACTGCGATATTATAAGCAACATTGGGGATACTTTTGTAGTGGAGGAGTACGTGTGCATCAAAGGGTTTCGCACGAGGAAGTCTTATGAAGTTGCCTTTGATCCATGTACACAAGAGGTGGAGTGCACTTGCCATCTTTTTGAGTTTAAAGGGATGATTTGTAGACATTACATCGTTGTCTTCATTCGAAACGGTGTTAGGTTTTTGCCTGAGAAGTATATCCTAGAGCGATGGAGGCGTGATGTGAAGCGGGCATACACACGAGTCAAAGTAGATTATAATGGCTGGATATGTACTGTCGAACAACAACGGTATGATGACTTGTGCAACAGCTTTCGGGCTTTGGCGAATAAAGTCGTAGACGATGAATACCGCACAAAGGAGATAATGGATTGGATTCAGAAGGAGATGTTTGTAGAAGCAATGAGAAGCCAAAATCCATCTAAAGGAGTTCAAGAAATTCCCGAACATACAACAAGCACTACACTTGTGTTAGACCCATTAATCGGCACACGCAAAGGAGCTCCAAGAAAGAGTCGTCTCAAGTCCAACAGGGAAAAGTGTGGTCAAAAGAAAACAAGAAAAAGGACTACAGAGAAAAACCCAAAACCGAAAGAAGGTAAAAAAAATGATAGCCTACCTAAGAAGAGGAAGAAAATGGATGCGTCTGAGATCTTGGCATCACAAAGGCAGCATGCTTGGCCCGTGCAAGACGAAGATGGTGTTTACGACCTCACCTTGGGAGGTCTGGATCTTGGCCTTTCACTACATTGACTTTTAACAGCTATTTTTTTGCATCAGATCTAGGTGCCGAAGCTCTGATTTTTTGGAATGAGCATGGGAACTGTAAATCACATACCTTTTTGCTTTTTGCTTTTTGTGTAAAGTATGTAACAAGTCTGATAACTTTCTCTGAGTTCCCTGCACATAAACTGATGTAAACCTGATGTAACTCTGTCTTCACATACATTAAGTCTCTGTGAAGTGTATGACATAGACAATTATTCCATGTGAGCACCAAGAAATCTTTTGTATGCGTTTTAACTTTGTTTTTAGCTATACAAGACCCCCACATACGTTAAGTAACTCTGTCGTCACATAATTTAAAGCTCTGTGTAATGGGTAAGATAGACAGTTAATCTCTGGGAGGGATCTAAAGTGTTTCCCCAAAAAATACATTACAAAGCACAAAAACCATTACAAAGAGTTTCACAAAAATTAAAGATCCCTAAAATTGTAAAGTAAAAAAGCTAAATATTGGTTGTTTTCCTTCCACGCCATAACCTAGCTGCAAATTGACATCAGAAATCAGCCATGTGTTCAGAACTGCAGTCCAGACTTAATTGTAAGCCAACCAACAAACACTCTATATATGCAAGCACCATCACTCCACATACGCCATACCTGCAAGGGAAAATAGTATTAAAATAAGTAGAGGGGTATGATTTTCACCCGTCCATAGGAGTAGCATAACGAAGTAATGGCGAACAAACCTAGAGTCCTGTTGCGGAATACCATTGACAACAATTGTTTCCCATTCCTTCTCCAAAGTGTTTGCACCCACACCCTTAATCGTGCGAAGTAGGGGGGGGTATTCTTCTAACTATTTCTTTAACGTAGAATGAGGATTCCGGCCCTTCTCAACAGCAGTGTGCTCATCCTCAATTTGCTCTGTATCCTCATTTTCCCCAATCGCATTCTCCTCTTCATTTTCCCTTGTCTCCTCAGTGTCGTCCTCACTTTCCATACTCTCCTCCTTATTTTCCCGAGTCTCATCTACATCTTCATCAGCTCCAGTCTCCTCCTCATATTCCTCAGCAGCCTCCTCGATTTCATCATCTTCTTCTAAATCCTCATCATCTTCCTTAGCAGCCTTTGTCCTTGCTCTCTTCTGTCTCTGAATTCTAACAGATCTTCTCCTTCGGCCACTTGAATTCAGCTTCATAACAACCTCCACCAACAACTTCTTGATTTCATCAATCTTCACTTCAAGTCCATCCATCCTTTTCTTCAAATCTCTAATGGCTCGAACGGTGTCGGCATCAGAATCCTGTGTACAAACAAGAGCATAAACCATATATATTCCCAGACAGTGACTGTAGGTATAATGTAAATTCACATAGGTTAAAAGTCAGTGAATATATTACCTTCTTTTGTTGCAATTCACGAAAGAAAATGTCCTTAAGTGTCACTGCTTTTTGGAAACTTCTTTGATGCCCAATTCAAAATTTCACAAGAAGAAGTCCCCTCTTGCACAGCAAGGTTTTTTTCAACCAACTCCGGAAAACACTCATACGCCCACACCTTAAACAAAAGTAAATATAAAAATAATGAATATTCCAAGTAAGTGTTAGAATACATATTATGTTCATATACTAACCTGAATAGGCAATGGAAAACCATAGAAGGTGTACTTTAAGGATTTGTAGTTTGAGGTTTCTTTGCTCTTTTTTTCAAATTTTTCGGGCTGTCCATCCATTGCACCTTTCATATGTCGTATAGTAAGTAAGTACGACTCCCAAGCCCATGGATAAGATTTGAATTTTTTGGGCTCTTCGACAAGATGCAAATGGGTTGATTCAATGCATGTAGATCTATCCTTTGCTAAAAGGACACACTCAATGAAGTAGAGCATGGAAAAGTCAACCATTTTCTTCGAATCTATGGTATTCTCCGCTGCAACATACTTCTCTCGTACATGCTTGAAGGTGCACTTCGCGACCTCCCCTCCTAAGAATGTGTGACACAGTGAGCTCTGTCCAAGCTCTTTGTCCTTAAGAGGTGGGTACCTCTTTGTGTTCGGCAACCTTGTAATTCTGCACCAGTCGTTGAAAGTGAATTTGACAATTTCACCATTTCGGAGGATCCAGAATTCATCGTCAGGTTGATCCTCAACAAGCAACAAAAGCATTTGGTGAATGATCTGGCCAGAAAACTGGAGGTTCTTAAGCCCCATGAAGTGCCCAATTGGAGTCCTGTGAAATTCTTCAAATTGACTAGGACTCAATTTCTTCTCAATGTTGTTGATGGCTTCACGGATGTCAGAACAAACTGAGTACTGAGCTCCAAAATGAGCACTTACAGGGATTAACAAAGACATCGTCTGAAATGAAGTTCAATTAACACAAGTTAAATATTCACACAGACAATAATCATATATGAAGTTCAATAAACAGAAGTTAATTGTCTATGGCATATCATTCAAAGAAAGCAAGCAAAAATAACAAGTAGACTTGTTTCACAGACAATAATGTTATATGAAGTTCAAATAACAGAACTTAAACCTCTGTGCCATACAATTCACAAAGTAAGCAAAAATTTTACAACCAAACATATTTCACATACAATAAACTTATATGAAGTTCAAATAATAGAAGTTAATCAATGAAACTACATTATGGAGATTTGAGACTACACAAACATACTATTATCAAATCCACAACTACATTAACACACAGTTTAAAAACACCAAGAAAATTGAAATAATCGGCAAAGACCAAAGAAAGGGAAATTAGCTTGAGTACGTTTCGGGCTTAAACAGGACTGCCGGCAAGGGAGGTGGAGGGTGGGGCTGTCGGCGCTGGAGGTGGACGGGTGGGGCTGCCGCTGCTGGAGGTGGAGGGTTGGGGATTTTGCCGGCGATTCGAAATTCTACAACAATCAGATAAACACAAGCCAAATTTGGGAAAGAAAAGAGGAAAATTTGGGAATTTGGAGCTTGGGGAGGTTGAAGCGGGAGAATGGAGAGAGATTAGATTTGGGAATTTCTTTCGGCGGGAGACGAAAAGCCTAAAAAAATTAAAAAAATATATAAAATTGCTATATATTAGGTAGCATGCTTGGAGGCATACGTGGTGCCTCTTTAGCATTTTCCTTTTTAGAGAGGTTGATAACTGCCGGTGAGTAGAGTAGTTATTACAAATTATAGAATTCCCACACTTTCACTGTCGGGATTCGACCCTATAATCAACAGACTTAACATTCTCGTCTTCGACCAGTTGAGCAACTCATGCGGGCAATTACAAATTTACAGGAGTAAACGATAGGGAGTACATCATTTCGGGCCTTTTTGAGAATGGTGTTAGGCATTAGCATTAGCGTTTTTGAAAAAATTTAATGGTGCACATTCTTTTGAAAATGCTAACACTAAACGATATACGTAGATAACCTTTTCAAAACGCTAACGCTGATCTCTAGCGATATTTTCAAACAGACTCTTCTTCCATGTCAATTATGGAATAAAAAATTATAGGAACTTGTCTCTAAATATAAATGATTATTGTCTATGTGTGTATAAACATCTCTCTTGTTTTCACAAGGAGTGTTGTCATAATAGGATAACAACTGTAACACTCCAGCCCCCACCCTGGCCGTAAGTGTTCGCTCATAGGATTGTAGACTGGCCTCACAAACCAACATAAGTCTTTCCCACGCACTTTGTCCTCACTCGTGCATGCCCAAGGAATTTCCCAGGGGGTCACTCATCCTAAAATTACTCCAGGTCAAGCACGCTTAACTTTGAAGTTTTTAGGTGATGAGCTCCCGAAAAGAAGATGCACCTTGTTGGTATGAATAGTACTATCAATCCTTTTGAGCTCTTCCCATTCTCATCTTAATACAGGGTATTACAACAACTCTAATCGAATTATCTACAGTGTTTCGACTGAAAAATTAATGATTTCAAAAAGTTCATAAGATAATCCTTATGGGGTAGCTTGTTATGTTTGATTTTTTAAAAATCAAAATGCATAGATATTAGTTATTAATTATTCTGACTCATATCATTCTTTTTATTTGACTGTTTATGATCTCTTATACGATTTAAACTATTAATCACTACAAAAAAGTGAACTTCTTGTGACAGGATGTTTGTACTAAATTCTATAATTTGCAACATATATCATGTTTCAAAAACTGTTTATGGCAAAATTTGATGCAAAAAAAGTATTCGTGAAAAATTTAATGCCACAGAGGGTCAAATTTTTTGTAGTATAATATACCTATTTATCTATAGACATGCTATCTTTTCTTTGGAGTATAGGAATGTTCAAAATTTTCATTTTCTCTTTAGTGCTTCATTTTTCTTGAAGATTGATAACATTCGAAGTTCTTTTTCTATCTCAATATGATTAGTATCAAAATTTATGTCAATAACATAAGTATTTGTTGCTTTCATTCATAGACCTTGAATGGTTTTCTTCGAACAAATGATAGGATGCAATTAAGAGGATATTCTTGGTACCCCTAAAATGTTTGTGTAGTTTAATTGAGAAAGTAAAGCGAGATCTAATCGGCTCATAAAAAGTAAAGCATGTACAAAGTACTTGATACACTTCTTTAAAAGATTTTATATTTAGTATGTACACATCTGTTGTGTTATACTCCCTTTGTCTCTTTGTTAGATTCTTATTTGAACTCAAATCGAATTAATTTAATTCGAGACTCTTTTCAATCTGTTGTGTCATGCTCCCTTTGCCTTAATTTTTTATAGTTTGACTTTAATAGTCAAACTACTATACTTTCTCGATTCGTAAATATAATTTTAAATAAAAAATACTAAAAAACATCATTTATAAAAACTAGATATTCAAATAAACTTAATTTTATAAAATTTGTATTATAACAAAATGTACTCTCATTATTCTAAAATTACTTCTCATTTGACTTTTATGGTATCCAATTTAATAATTTGATCATTAATATATCTATTTATATTTAAACATATATTATATAGAAAATATTTCAAAATTGTGTATCAAAATGAATATATTTTCATTAAATTTATATAAAAATTCAATGTACTTTTTCTGTAATATGTAGTCAAAGTTTAAAAAAATTGATCAAGAAAATAAGATTAAGAAACTAATTTCAGAACGGACGGAGTATGTGTTGCCCAATTTGTGGTCAAGATATATACAAGTAATAATTTAACCAAAAAAATGATACAATGTATTATAAAAACGTCCTCTGTCCAATAATAATGTTCCTGTTGAACATTACAATGTTTGGCTAAAGTTATTTTCAAATCAATTTATATTAAAAATTATATAAAATTGAAAAAAATATATCCAATAACTACATGAGAAGATCTAACAAAACTAAATATGATGTAACTATATTATTTTATTAAATAAATAATATAAATTAGTCAACAAAGTAAATAAAATTTAATAATGTAAATTGTGAAGAGCACGTTATTATTAAATGGATATGGTGCATTTTTTCTTACCCCGTAGAATAAACGCGCCGCCTTTAGGAAGCTAACCGACTTGTGTGGCCGTTAATGGCGGTTACAAATTTGGTTGTTTCTTGATTCCAAGTTTTTTTTTTACTCGTAGGATTATCCGAATTGCCAATAGACACGTGGCATTTCTCTGCTGTTTCCACGTCGCCTGTCCTTGTGTGAGTTGTCGCCCAAACCCCATTTATCCGCAACTTATACTGATTGCAAAATGATTTTCTTACTCTCTATTTTATTGATTTCCTAATAATTTATGATTCGTATTAGTTTTCTTCTTTTTTTCTAAATAACTTTTAACCACTTGTTTTTAATTTTTTAAAATAATTTTCTTAAATTTTTTTGAAGTCAAATTTGGACAACAAATTTTAGAAGAAGAAAGTGGTAGATCAATTCTTTTTGTACTCGTAAGGTCCCGTTTGATATCAGTCTTAGAGATTAGTTTAGTCACTTTAGTATTTTGAAAAAGTTATTTATTTGACGGAAATAGTTATGAAATAGACACACACATTTAGATTATGAAATTTTTATTAAAGTTGTGTGATTGTTTGACTGAAAATACTATTTGTCCAAGTCAAACTGGACAAACTTTGAACTCCAATTACTCTCAATTTATATTGCATATTAGCATAATGAAATACAATTTCGAAAGTTCTCACTACGATAAATTCAATAAAGTCATTTTTATGTTAAAATACATTACAATTTTTATTTAATTGAAGCTCAAAGTTTGTCAAGTTTGACTCGAAAAAGTTAAACTGGACAAATACACTGGGACGGAGGGATTAGTTGGTAACGTTATTACAAATATTAAAATATTATAGTGCATTAAAAAATTTTGCAATTAATTGGTGTAAGACTTCGTATAAATGTTAGAGAACTAATCTTAATTTTTGTACAAATCCTTAGAAAATTTAATATCAACCATGTTTAAAATATACAATGTTTATTTCATGAACTATCTATTTTCTATATATTTAATTAGATTATGCATATGAAATTGGTGTATGAACATTTGATAATTATACAATGCTCATTTTAAACATGAAATTGTCAAAGAACATACCTATATATTTATAAAATTCACGAAATAGACAATGACACAACGTCCATTGGATCTATAGAAAAATGTGCATGATCGGATGTATAATGCAGAGTAATATGCATATTTTATGGCGTTTCAATTAAAAAATAAATTTTCAAAATCTTAATTAAAAGTTATAATATAAAATAAAACGTGACTTGATAATATATTTTAACATATACTGAATGACAATGGGCATGTTTGGGAATAACGTTAATGATTAATGTTTTGAAAATACTATCTACGAGCAGCGTTTAGCGTTAGCATTTTCGAAGTAATCTGAATCGTTAAAACTTTATCCAAAACGCTAACGTTGTTCCGAAACATGCCCACATATAAGAAGATGATTCAAAGGCAGCAACAGTTTTTATCTCTTTTTTTAAATTTCAAAGTAATCTGCACCGTTAAATTTTTATCTCTTTTTTTAAATTTCTCTCTTTTTTATATAGAAAAAATGACGTGGTCAACAACAATTTTCTTTTTGAAATAAATTCTAAACCCTTCACTTTTTTACTCGACTCCACATAAAAACATTGGACATTTGGTCTTAAGGTCTACAATACTTGACTAAAGTAAAAATAAATAAATATTAAAAAATTACATGTACTATTTGTAAACTATATCAAAAGATTTACTGATTGTTGATAAAGACAATTATTTTATCAAATAATAAAAGTCATAAAACTAAAATGTGTACCAAAAGGCAAAAGACTATATATACTTTGACTATACAAACATGGCCGGTCTCGAGATTTCAAGAAGTGGTTGGGCCAAGATAAAAAACAGGCCCTTAGTCTCAATAATTTAAATTATATAGAACACACACTAATTTTGTTTAAACAAAAATTAATATTATATTTCCTCCGTCCCAAAAAAAAGCTCTCGCTTATACTTGGCAGAAAATTTAAGAAAAATAAAAATGTATGGTTAAAAATGATGTATACGAGAGAGAAAGTATATGAGTCATTTAAAATTTTCCATGAAAAGAAATAAAGAATCTTTTTTTGACACGAAAGAGTATTATAAAAATAAACACATCATTGAGGCTAAGTATAAAACTATTACTCCGCATTCCGTAATTTTTTTATAACTCAAATAGTCAAGTTAAACACAAAATTACTACCCATAATATAATCTCACATTCTCAATGAAAGGACTAATCAATAATATGTTCACAATCCAAACTTCAACCATCTTTTTGCGCCCAATCCAAACTTTATCATTAAGAACTACTCTTTCTGTCCTAAAATTAATTTTATTTAATTTTTGACGGTCTTTAATACAACACTTTGGCTATTAATATCTTTATTTATATCTAAATATATATTATAAAACTAAAATATTTGAAAACTATATTTTAAAATAAGTACATTATTTTAAATCTATATTGACGTAATATGCATTTTAAAAGTTTGATTACAAGAGTCAAACTGGAAAATTAATTTTAAGACATATACGAAGGTTAGTGAAATTTGCAGTGAATAGGACTAAAACATAAGTCATTTTCCAATGTAGGACTTAAACTTTTTTACTCCCTAAATATGACTTAATAATGACTAGTGAGAAGAATAATGTCCAAGAAGAGGCGGACCCACGTTGAGTCCCACGGGGTCCCGGGACCCCACGGACCTCCACGTAGGATTATATATATATATTAGATACCCTGACATATTAGTCTATATATAACAAACGCCTGTATGTAATAACTACATGGAATGGTGGAGCGGAAGCGCGGCTATCAATTTTGGAGGGCGATCCAGGGTTCGAGTCCGCACTCGTCCAATTTGTTTTTTCCTCAAATCTATTCCTCAAGTATTCTAAATGCAATATTTTTAATTCAATTTTTTGAGGTAGTGTTTTTTTGTATTAAAATGCATTGCTGCATTATGCTTTCAATTTAAATATCTCTTTTGGTACACGGAATTCAAAACGATAGAATTAAAATTGAAGATAATAATTCCAATTTTATTGTTTGCCAACACAAAAATATATAGATTTGAAATTGATGTTTTCAAAAATGAAATTAACATTGGAGAATTCAATTCCATCCAAATCAATTCTATAAAATTTTTATTTTCAATTTAATTCTAATTCTGTTAATTCTATGTACCAAATAGACTCTAAATATGAAATAATTATTAAAATTGTTTCAATTTGACCACCAAACTATCCAAATGTACGTGATAAGGTGTTATTTAGATTTCTTTAGTTTAAATCTTTTATGAGTGATTTTTAAATTTAGCGGAGTTGCAAAATAAAATGAGAACCTCGAATACACTAAAATTACTTCTATCTTCATCATACTTTAGTAGTACACAAGAAATATAATATTGATCTTATTTCTTACTATTACATGAAAACCTAAAAGACGTACTTCAAAGTTTTAATTTATTTTGAATATAAAATATTAAAACCTCAAACTTGTACTCTTTCCGGCTTTTCACTAAATTATGGGTATAGAATATATTGATGCATGTAGAGAGTTTACAATTTTTCTTTGTCTTTTTACAAGTATCTGTTTCCTAAACAAATCTAATTTTCATTATATTTGTATTCTTTTTACAATTTACTTCCGTTCTTAAAGTGTGATAAAGAAAGATTATGAATATGTCTAAATCTTTTGTTCTAAATTAAGGCTTTTGAGATAAAAAAATCATTATATCCAATTAGTAAATTTTGTCTTAAAATTGTTAGTTGTAGAAGTTATGATTTTGAAAAATCTATTTGAGAATTACATTTCGAATGTTCATTTAAATGATAGATTTTTTAGTTTACTTTTTTATAGTGTGTGAATAATTATGCAATATAAATATAAGTTTACAATTTAAAAAACAGGACACCATGGTTCCCGATTCCTGGATCTGCCTCTGTGTCCAAGTAATGCTAGACATTTAATTGAATAATGACTAATAGATAATGACCAATGATCCTACATTAAGAAATAAAAACATATGGTCCTATATTGAGAAAGTCATTATATTTTAGTCCTATTTAGGTAAATTACTCATGAAATTATATAATCTAAATAAAAACACTACTATCGATGAAGATATTAATATCGACACATATATTCTGTAAATTATCTGATTCTCGAAATCGATATTCTTTCCATGCAAGTTTTTTTAAATTCCTACAGATTCTATATGTGATCAAGATTGTGCATATCAAATTCAACTTAACAATAAACTTAGTCCATCCCTAAAATATTGTCACAGTTTGATTTTTTTGTCAAACTGTGGCAATCTATGACCACGAATTATGAAAAAAGTATATTTAGTTTTAATGTAAATTTAGTAAAATTAATTAAGTTTGTTTTAAGATATAATTTTGAGATATCAAATTTTTATAATATTTAATTACTTTAATTTTTTTTAATTCATGGATGAAAGATGTAACATTTTGATAAAAAATTAAACCGTGGTATTCTTTTAAGAACGGAAAAATATAGAATATCTGATACTCCGTATAATTTTAGTGAAATTGAGCGTTAAAAGCGTAATTATATATCGATCCTATTTCCAATGATGCATTTCAATGTTCGTTTGACGGACACTAAAATAATAATGACTATGGTGGTGAAATAGAATTTTGATCAAAAACGATAATTGTAGTCTATGAATGCATTAAATTGGTGACTTGAATTGACAAACCACATATTTTACCCTTTCAATTTAATATCAACAGTGCAGAATGTTAAAAAAAGACTAAATATGGAATAATAAAAGAAAAGATCATGAATATTGATAGAAACCTATATATGGAGTATAATAAAACTATGTGTTATAAAGAATTAATTACAAGATTTACTCTAAAAGATTTTTTTGATTTTCATGAAATTAAATTGATCAAATTCATTTATCATGTGGAAGAGATTATACCAAAAGAAAAAAGAAAAAAGAAAGAGGGGAAATGTTTGCCATTTTCACTCGACTTGTCAAGAGATTATTTAGTCGAAAAATATCTATCCGCAGGTGATTCCCTCGACCCGTCGTCCTCGTCTTCTTCATCCTTCTTTCTCGTTTTTCCCACGTCAATTTCAGATCGTTAACTCCCTCACACAGTCTCTGTTGCGCGGGGCGTATTCACACGGTTGAAGATATCAAATCGATTGCCTGAATCCGCCCAATTTTTCAGAAACCAGTCCGTGTAATGTCTGTTACTTCTTCACCCCCGCCATCGTCGGAAACGCCGCCGCAGCAGCAGGCGTCTCCGGTTCTGGAGGAGAATAAGAATCGAGACGAGTCCGAGACGACGCAGGCTGTGAAGAAGGAGAAAGAATCGGTCCATAAAACTAAGACCATTCAGTTTCTGGGCCGGACTGCTCCCA